TTCTTTTTTTTTTTTTCCAAGATTTTATTTATTAATTTAAGAGAGAGAGACAGAGAGCACAAGCAGGGGGAGAGGCAGAGTGAGAAGCAGACTCTCCGCTGAGCTGGGAGTCCAATGTGGGGCTCAATGCCAGAACCTGGAGATCATGACCTGAGCCAAAGGCAGACACTTAACCATCTGAGCCAACCAGGTGACGACCCTGCTACTGTTATTTTCTGAGCATCTAAGTATGGGAACCCGTTGTTGCCAGCCAGAAACTTAAAGGTGGACAATGAGGGCTTTTAGAGCTGGAAGCAAATTCCGATTCCGAGTGTCTCAGGCCACACTGGGCAGATGCGCTTGGGGGACACAGGCAGAACAGAGCTGACTGAGATGCTTTGGATAAAATCTAAGAAATAAATTTGAGGTTACAACATCAGTGACAATAATAGACTATGGCAAAGGCTCTTGTTCCAGCTCGCTACACCTTACTGATCAGAGAATTAAGGTCCCTCAAATGTCAACTTTGCAAGTTTTTTTCATAGGCTACTTTTATTTTATTTTAATTTTTTAAAAGATTTATTTATTTATGGGAGGGGAGAGCACGGGCACACGGAGGGGTGGAGGGAGACAGAGAGAGAATCTCAGGCAGGCTGTATATGCCCAGCTCGGACCCTGACATGGAGCTCCATCTCAGGACCCTGAGATCAGTCGGACGCTTAACCGACTGAGCTGCTTGGGTGCCCCATATTTTATTTTATTTTATTTTTTATAATTTTTTAAAGTAGGCTCCAGGCCCAAAGTGGGGCTTGAACTCACAACCCTGAGATCAAGAGTCGCATGTTCTACCAGCTGAGCCAGCCAGGTGCTACATTTAAATTGGAAATGTTAGCGGTTTGCCCAGTATATTCTATCTGCCTCCTAAGTTTTCCAGTTTTAAAAGCATATTCAAATGATAAGGCAGAGTCCCTGAATAGAAGGGTGACCAATCATCCCAGTTTCCTTGGGACTGTCCTGGTTTGAACATTGGAAGTCTTGTTTCCCCAGACTGGAGGGTTGGTCACCCTACCTAGTAAGGACATTTTAACCACTTGATTAGTTTTCTGGGCTAATATTTACCTCAGCTTAACAACTCTTTCTTCACAGACAATTCTTTAGTGTCTGATTGATCTTAGGCGGAGTTTTGGCTTTGCTCTTTGTTGGGAGGTATCAGGCAAGTTTCTAAATTTTCCCAAGCCTCAGTTTCCTTCATTATAAAATAAAGAAGGGTGACAACAGTACCCCTTCCTTTGGGTTGGTATCAGTGAGATTATGCAGACAGGAGGCTTAATACATATTTTAAACACTCAGTAAATGTTAACTATTAATCTATTATTGTTGTTAGTTACCTAATACAAGATCAAAGGGATGGTATTTATTTATTTATTTTAAAGATTTTATTTATGTATTTGAGAGAGAGAGAGAGAGAGAGAGCGAGAGAGAGCATGTGCTTATGTGCTTGCACATGAGTGGGGGAGGAGGAGCAGAAGGAGAGGGAGAAGCAGGCTCCCCGCTGAGCAGGGAACCCTGAGGACGTGGGGCTACATCCCAGGACCCTGAGATCATGACCTGAGCCCTAAGGGATGGTATTTAAAACACATTTTCCCCTGGGGCGCCTGGGTGGCTCAGTCAGTTACGCATCTGCCATCAGTTCAGGTCATGATCTCAGGGTCCTGGGATCCAGCCCCGTTTGGGCTCCCTGCTCAGTGGGGAGTCTGCTTCTCTCTCTGCCCCTCCTTCCTGTTTGTGCTCTCTCTCTCTCAATCTCAAATAAATACAATCTTTAAAAAAAAACAAAACACATCTTCCTCTCACCCAGTATTTTAGAGGCACCCTTATATACGAACAAGTTGCATGTCCATAGGGACTTCTACAAGGCTAAGAATAAATGCACGTGGTTCAAACAACAGAGATCACACTTAAATATTAATAAGGATTTTCCAAGACTAGTTTAAAGTTGTAAAATCTTTACAGAGGACCACACCAATAATTAAGCAGTCATCTGATTAAAAAAAAAAAAAAAACAAAACCAGTGACTGAGTACTGGCTGTGTAACAAGTAGCTGAGGGAGAACCAAGTGAGTGTAAAACACAGTCCTGCCCTCAGATTGGTTACACTCTTGTGTTCCAAGGATTCCAAGAACTAAGCCAGGAGCCAGGGACAGGTCAAAGTAGACAAACCAGATAGAAATGAAGAATGTGCCCCACCCTGCCCTTCCTCCCTGGAATACAGGAGCCCTGGCCGCAGGTGAGTGGGCTGCAGGAGGAGAGGCAGGTGAGTGGCTTTTCTAGAAGAGACAGCCTTCAAAGTCGACAAATTAAAGGAAAAGTATACCCAGGCGGGAATTTGAAATATCAAATCATTAAATGGAACCGAAGTAAAAGGGATGGCTGAGTTTTGAAGACAGATGCCCACCCAGGGAATAAATGAAGTAAGAAAGAGGAAATTTTCACTTTGGAGAAGGCTGTCCAGCTCAGAGACCAGAGAAGTCCCATGACCAGCAATAATGGTCTCCTACTTTGCTAAGGAGGATGTCACTCTGGGCAAAACCTAAACCACATTCAGAATGTCTAATCTCTAAGGTCCCAGAAAGGTCAAGGAAACGGAGACAATGCTTCATCCTTCTAGAACTCTACGGCTGTTACCATAGGACTCGGTCATTCCCCTGCCTCACGGAAGCCTGAGGGCTTACTGGTTTGCTGCTCAACTGTTTGGGACACCGAATTGCTCTGATTCCCAGAGGCATAGGACTCAGGTACACCTTTCAACCATTCGCCCTGCTCCCTTGACCAATGCCCTCAGCGCCCCCACCCCCAACCCATAGTATTTCCAGGCTTTGCCAAGAAACAAGTGTCAACAGGCAGGTGTCCATGGGAGTAGGTGTCAAAGGAGGTTTTTCCATTCAAGAAACCCAGACAACCAGAAATCATCTCTAGGTGTGGCACAAACCAACACTGATCTTGGGCTCTTAGCCTCATACCTCACTCACCTAGGTCCTACCCTCCTAGGTCCTGAACCTAGAAACCAGAGCCGAGGAAGTGTCCCCTCTTACACTTTAGCAAGGCCATTTAGGGCAGTTTCTCTCCCCCCAGAAAGAGTACAAATGCTGCAGAGGATCTTTCCTGGTGTTTCTGCCACTCCTCCCCCACCACCACTCTCCTGTGGTGTGGAGCAGGATTATTAGGAGCCTGTTCGGGCTTTAGCTGGGCAGGGGCTGCGGGTGTCTGTGGTGTGAATACACTTGTAGTAATCTTTCACCAGAAACGAAGATTCCCTAGAAACCTGTTCCGTATGCGGCCTGGTTTCTTTGAGACAATTGCTGCCTCGTGTGAAACAATAAATGAGAAAGGGCTTTGATGGCCTGTAAAATGCCTGAGAAATACAACTTGTTATGATAGTGCCAAAGAAGTTGGCAGCCCTGCTTGTGGGGCTGCGGAGGCAAACCTGGTCTTAGTACCAAGTGAGGGCAGTTCTTGCCAATGGGATCGCTTTGAAAATTTCCCATGTGGGCTTCACAAAGCCACCCAATGATTCAATAATCTGTGGGTGCTGAAAATTTCCTATTACTTTGGCTCAACACACCACCTGCCCCCCCCACACCTGGAATCTCAGAACTAGGAGTCTGTTTTTTTTTTTTTTTTAAAGATTTTATCTATTCATTTGACAGAGATCACAAGTAGGCAGAGAGGCAGGCAGAGAGAGGAAGGGAAGCAGGCTCCCTGCTGAGCAGAGAGCCCACGGGGCTGGATCCCAGGACCCTGAGATCATGACCTGAGCAGAAGGCAGAGGCTTTAACCCACTGAGCCACCCAGGTGCCCCTCAGAACTAGGAGTCTTAAGAGACCAGAAAGATCAGGGAACTTAGGTTCACACGTGGAGGTAGAGCCATAACTTGTACCACAACCCTGTTCTCCCACAGCGGGGTTCTCCTTCTCTTACATAACCTTTGTTGTTGAGAGAGAATAAGATCCACCCCTATACATGTGTGCTTACACACACACACACACACACACACACACACACACACACACACACATAAGCACAGACGCGCACGCGTGCACCCAGTGTCCTGTCCCGATGGTTCTAAGACACCAAACCCAGGGCTGGGTTTCCTGCCTCCCCTGCCTCAAAACTGCCTCAGTTGTCTCTGCTACCAAGACTGGCTCTTACCAGAATGTCTCAGACTGGAGGACAGCAGCCACCTTGGGTCTTCCCATTGTGTTTTCCCCCTCTCCCTCCCTTCCTTGCCCTTCAGCAGGATTTCCAGAAAGTCTGACCTGCACTCCAACACAGGCCTGCAGAGACAGGGGTTCATCCACCCACCCATCCCAGGATGCTCTCTCAGGGGCTGCTTTTAGCCGCCACTGGAAATTGAAGGCCGTGATCCATGGAGTCTCAAAAAATACCATCCAGAGTCTCAAAAAATTCTCACACATGTCTAATTTTTCTTATTCTTCACCCTCCCCCCATGCCAGCAGCAGCTTAATTTGTCCTGACATTTTGCTTGCCCTCGCTGTCAGTCAGGGCCACTCGGTAATTTAAAAGCTCTTGCAATTGCAACCCGAGTTTGCATATTTAGAAATGGGCTTCTGAGAAAGGTGGAACTCGGATCCCAGGAGCATCCCATGGCAGAATCTCCAAAACGGCAGCGGAAACGTGCGCATTTCAGGAGGGGGTGCCGCCGGCTACCCCTAAACCGATCTAGGGCTCTGCCCACCTCCTGGACTCCAGCATTTCCCTAGGCAAGTCTCAAATTCCCTTCAAAATAAGGCTCCCACCTGCCGGGCCTCCCCTCTGCCCTGCCGGCCTCCGAGGAGCATAAGGGTCCGAGTCAGGTCTCCGCCACCGGGAGCCCCGCCTCCCCAGTGCTCCCTCCACCCCACCGCGTGAACAACTCGGTCACCCCTTCCGTCAGAGGTGAGGGTACGGTAAAGGCCGGCGCCAGCCTGGACCGCGTGCCCACCCGTCTGCCCAGGCACCCACCTGTGGAAGAAGAGCAGGATGGAGAGCATGGTCTGGTCGATGTTGCGGTTGCAGATGCCCTCGTTGATCAGGTAGCAGGGGTCCCGCAGCACGGGCTCTAGCGAATCCTGCCGCATTATGCTGTTGAGCTTGTCGGTGTTGAGGTTCTCGAAGATTAGCTTCTCCTGCAGCTGCCGAAAGTTGCTCACGGTAGGACTGCCCGGATTGCTGTTTTCTCCGCTGCTGTCCCGCTGGAGCCCGCTCCGGTGGGCCAGGTCCAGGCAGCAGTTGCAGCAGTCGAGACCGACAGGTGAGCGGCAGTCGGTCTTGGGCTGGGCCATCTTCTCAGGCTTGGGGGCCGCTTGGCCCTCGAGGTCAGGGTCGGCTGGCAGGTGCGCGCCCGCCGGGCTAGCCTGAGGGGACTCCAGGGTGTCTGGAAAACACAAGCTGCGAGGGGAGTTGGAAATTAGCGCCTAAAGCCAGCCACCCTCGGCTCGGCCCCCTCCTGGCTGTGCTGCCCTGGGTGCGAATAGAAACAGCTGGACAAACAGCTCTGAGCGGATCCTTCGGGCTCACTTCCTCCTCTTCCTCCTCCCCCTACTCTAGAGGCTGGGGCTGCCCGCCCCCCCCCTCCCCAGGTGCCACACGCGGCTCTAGCGCAGTCCTAAGTTTCCCAAGTGTGAGCGGGGCTCGGCGGACCTGTGGCAGCAGGAAGGGCGGGCAGCAGGGCAGAGGGAGAGCCAGGGCGCGCCCTCGTTCCCTCCCTTCTTTGCTCCCTCCCTCCCCGGCTCGCTGGCTCTCCCGCTCTCGGGCTCCCCTGGGCTGTGCCGGCTGAGCGGTGGCAGGATCGGAGAGCGAGTGAACGAGGGAGCGAGGGAGCCAGTGAGCGAGTGAGCGAGCTGCACGCCCAGGAGTCAGCACGGGGCTGTGACAGCATGTAAATTACCCCAGGGGGGCCGGCGGTGAGCGCTCCTCGCCGCTTCCCTGGCGGCCGCCTGGGTCCTGCCCCCCCAGCCCCCCGCCCCCCCCCCCCCCCTCCGCCGCCTGCACCCTCGTGCCCTCGCACCCACACGGCCGCTCGCACCCTGGCCCGCGCTCCCGGGAACCCGGCCCCGCTCTCCCCCAGTCCGTGCGCCTGGCGCCGCCGCCGCTCGGGCTCTCTGGCCGCTCAGGGCGCATCCACCGTCAGAAATCTACTCGCGGTCGGCCACGGACGCTGCGCCAACCCGGTCTCGAGCTCCGCGGGAGGGCAGATGTTCGGAGTCCCGCCGAGGACGGGTCCCCCTGCAGGAGAGACGCCGCCCGCGCGAGCCCGTCTCGTCGCTGCCTTAACCCTCCGCCCCGCCACCAGCCTATTTGGGGGGTCTGCAGAGAGAGAACGGCTGCCCCCGCGGGGAGTCTGAGAGCGCCCGGCACGCTCTCGCGGTGCCCAAGGGAATGCCTTAAACGAAACTCACGGAAGCACGCTCAAACTCGCCTCGGTTTCTGACCCCTTCTTCTAACCGATGTTCCCCTCTTTCCCCCACGCGCGCTCTCCTCTCTTCCCTGAACCCCATCTGAGGCCATCTGTGCCCGGGCTTCCGGGAATGCCAGCTCCCCGGGTGGCTTCCCGCTGCCTTGCCCCTTCTCCCTCCCTGGGCTCGCGTCTCCGTTTGCCCTTGCGTCTCTCGGCACTTCTTCTCCATTCTTTCCCCTTTCTTTCATTTTCTTTCTTCCCCGTATTTCTTTCTTTACCCGTTTCCGCTCCTCTTCCTTTTCTTTCTTGCCCCCCGCTTCCTTCTTTCTTTTTTTTTTTCTCCTCAGCATTTCCTCAGTTCTCCCCTCTTCTCCCCTATTCCCCATCTTCCCCCATTCCCCGTCTTCCCCATTACCATCTTCTTCCCCATTCCCCGGCTTCTACCCCATTCCCCGTCGTCTTCCCCATTCCCCATCCCTCCTCCCCATTCTCCGTCTTCTCCGTCTTTTTCTTTCTGTCCCCTTCATTTCCCCCATTCGATTTTCCCCCGCATGTCCCTCGCCTCAGCAACCCACGCTTTCTCCTCGGGTCTGTCCCTTTCTCCTCACTTCACTTATCTTCCCCTACTTTTCCAAGCTTGCTACCCCGCCTTTTCTGATCCCCGTCTGCCACCTTAAGTTGGGTCTCTGTCCTCACCCTTTCGAGAGCTGTGGTGAGGAAATGCTCATGGGCACGGGGGTGGCGTGAAACTGCGAGCCGAGGAGTTCTTGGCTCCGAGGAGAGGGTGCTTCTGGGGCTGAGGATAGGTGAAAGGTCAAATCCGTGGAGAGCGAGGCAGGCTGATTGCTTGGGTCACATACCCCTTGGGCTTTTCGAGATGTGGGGAAGGGCTGGGTGGGCAAGTACAGGCTTTCAGGGTGGCTCAGGGCTTGGGGAATTGGACTGCTCTGAAATGTGGAGGATTCAATAATTATTGGCTCCTGAAAAAAAATTCCAGATATTCATGATGTTCAGTCTGCACATAAAACTCAAATGGATTTCAGTTTCAGTCCGCGATCCCCACCCCCCGCCGGCTCGCTTTTTTCCACCCTAAGCTCGTGGCCCTCGCAATAGGGTAGCGTATACTGCCATCTTGTGTTTCAGACCTGGAACATTCCCTGCGTCGGTCACAGAGTTCAAACTCCCGGGAGACCACAGAGGTGCCGCCTAGTGGAATCCTCACTGCATTGGTTCCGAGAGCGGGAGGAAAACGGAGACAGATTTTACGTGAAAATGGGCCCCCATGACCGACCTGAACACCCGGACACCAGTCAGGGCCAGGGCCCCCCTCTTTCTGGTGGAGCTTCATTTGCCCGAGTCCCTGCAGATTGGGCTTTCCCTACATTTGAAATTCCCTCTGGGTGCAACAAGGAGCAGCCCTGTGACTAGGAGCAAAGGGCAGCCAAAGAACTCCCCGTTCCCAGGGCCCTGTGGGTCTTGTATGGGGGCCCCACCACTTGTGGAAATGGTGGGAGGGAGGGAGGGCAGTGCTCTCTCTGCCTTAGGGGCCAGAAAACCAGAAACCAGCTGTATCTCTAGCTCCCAACAAGATCCCAGGATCAGAGATGAAAGTGGCTTTTGGAGGTCACTGACCAGACCCGCAGGACGGGGAGCATGGTCCCTATGCTCTCACAGCCTGCTGAGGATTCAGTTTGGTCTCCCAAAAGCCAGTCCTTTCATAATATGAGATTATGAGAACAAAGCCAATCCTTTAGATGCGTTAATTTCCCCCCCTTTTCTTCTTCTTCCCTGTCTGTTTTGTTTTTTTTTTAATGTTCTTGGGTAAAAGCCAGAGGAGGTAGTAGAATATGAAATTTCACAGGCATTGTGCAGACTTATAGCCTACTGAATTGTTTTTTAATTACAGTGTTTATGATTTTCCCTCTTGTTTATAATTATTTTATGTTAAACATTATAACAAAATATATTAGCTCCATAAATGTTTGCTTAAGTTGTGTTTTGAGAAGCTGGGGCCTTTTGCTTCTCTGCTTGCCTGAGTCCTCTTATCTTTGTGCATAACCTTGGGACGAGGTCCTGGTGGAAGTATTTCCTTCTTGGCATTTGGCACCATTAAACTCAAGATTTTGTCCCCTTGACATTTCCCTTGTTGTAGTCCTTGCTCTCGAGCGGTGTTGTTAATAATTCAGTGCAGCTTTGCATACTATATCCAGGCTGATCAAGAGCAAATATAACTTAGATATAGAAAAATCTGGATAGTTCAGAGAGAGGGTCAGAAAGCTACCGTGTATTTGCATACAAGTCCAGCTTGTAGTGACACATAGTATACCTCCAGAGGAAGGCTGACTGGGCTGGGCCCCCATTGGCTCCTGTCTGTGACACCTCCCTTTGCTCACATACACTATGTTCTGTGGAGATATTCAGAGCAGCAAAATGCTCTTGCATGAACCCAGCAACCAGAGGTGGGGGGGGCACTTCTATAGGGAGCTGGTGGTGGATTTCTGGGTGGAGCAGAAAGGGAAGACAAGGGGCATCTCTTTCTCAGATGGGGTCATCTAAAGGTCACTTGCTATGCACTTTACCCATGCCAGGTACAGTGTTAGTGGAGATTCCGAGGTAAATAAGACATAGCCCAGGCCCTCAAAGAACTCATGGCCTTGCTGGCAAAACAGATACATCAACAGACGAAACAGTACAAATGGGCCATAATGATGGACGCCTGGTGTGTGGTGGAAACAAGTGCCATGGGAGCCTGGAGAAGGTGTCAGTTCTGGAAGGAGGGAGGGACAATCCAGGTGGAGAGAGCAGAGAACAGAGGCAGGGGTGGGGGGGCGGGGGCGGGTGAGGGGGGCTGGGGGGCCCGTGAGGGCATCAGATATGCTGGGGGGCGGTGCAGAGTCATTACAAAGCAAGTTGGTGTCCTAGGAGAACAAGATGAGAGATGGAATAGTGAGAAGCAAGGCTGGAAAAAGAGGAGGGACCAGGTCTTCGAGGGGCTTGTGGGAAACGTGTGGGGGATCCTCTCACTTCATCAGTTTGTCCATGCATTTCGCAACTCTTAAGAAAAAGGATAGGGAGCACCTGGGCAGCTCAGTCAGTTAAGGGTTAAGTGTCTGATTCTTGGTTTCAGCTCAGTTCATGATCTTAGGGTCATGAGAAGGAGCCCCTCCTGCTCTCCTGGGGCGGGTTCCATGCTCAGCAGAGTCCGCTGGAGATTCTTTCCCTCTCCTTACCCGCTCTGCTCCTCCTCTCCCTCTGCTGCTTCTCCTCCTCTGCTCCTCCCCTGCTTGCCCTCTCTCTCTCTCTCTCAGATAAATAAATAAAATCTTTTAAAAAAAGGATACATATCATTTATTGAGCCCCTGCTATGTGCCAGGCACTTTATTTTTTTTTATTTTTTAAAGCTTTTTCTATTTTTTTTTAAAGATTGTTTATTTATCAGAGAGAGAGAGCATGCACAAGTAGGGGGAACAGCAGGCGGAGGGAGAAGCAGGCTCACTGCTGAGCAAGGAGTCTGCCCCACGTGGGGCTCCTTCTCATGATCCCAAGATCATAACCTGAGCCGAAGGCAGAAACTCAATGCACTGAATCACCCAGGCGTCCCAGGCTAGACATTTTACATATAATATCTCATTTAAGCCTCAAGACAACCCTGTGAAGCAGGTACTAAATTCCGGTGATGAAATGGGCTTGGGGAAGTTAAAAAAGCTTTCAGGTCACATACATCATAAGCTAGGCATTTGAATTTGAACCCGGCCACAGCTTTCTGACTTGGAAGCTTGTGCCTTTAATAATTAGGTGACTTTGTGGGGCGCCTGGGTGGCTCAGTGGGTTAAGCCTCTGCCTTTGACTCAGGTCACAGGTCACGATCTCAGCTCCTGGGATTGAGCCCCACATGGGCTCCCTGCTCGGTGGGGAGCCTGCTTCCCCCTCTCTCTCTGCCTGCTGCTCTGCTTACTTGTGATCTCTCTCTGTGTGTCAAATAAATAAATAAAGTCTTTAATAAAAAAAATTAAAAAAATAATTAGGTGACTTTGTAATGATGGGTTTATCAAACATTTACAAAATATAACAGTTGTTTTTAAGAAGATTGGACCAAAAAAATGAATTAGATACTACCATCATTCTCATGTAAGAGACAAGGAA